AGTATATTTTTACTGTTATGGTGCAATAGTTCTTCACAGTAGCTGAATTTATTTGGTTCAAAGAATATTATGAGTTAATATTTTACTTGTTGTCTTTGGCTCCACAGACCTTTATAAAACTAGTTATAATTCAGTTGTCGTAGATCAACGGAGGAAGAATATTTGTTATGGTTTCATCTGTGTTTGTTGGTTAGTTAGCAGGATTGTGCGAAAACTGCTTGATGGATTACCATGAAAAAGAACCCATTAAATTCAGGTGTGGATCCAGATCAGGGGCTCGATCCGAGAATTATTTTCACTTTGTTAAAAATGACGAGATATGTTTTTTGGGGCTGTTGGGTCTTGGCATAGCTCTGGACTGAGTGCCTTTCTAAATGTAAATGTTGAAGAACTTTTGGTTAAACTGGAGAGCCGGATTTTGAAGCGCACGTCATCAGTGCCCGTCTGTAACCACCGAAGTGTAAATCTCCACACCCCTGTAACGTCTGGCCCGGCGGACCGTCTGCCAAATAACCTCTGGATTTAGAACGTGTTTAGCTTTTCGAGCGTCTGAAAGGACAAAAGATGCAGCGAGTGAGAGGAGCCGGCTGCCGGTGTTTGTGTTAGTTGGTGGTCCTTTGTTTAGTCTTGCATCATCCAGCAGGAATAGAACAGAGACTTTCCTGCCACTGGACTCCACGCTTGTAATTGATGGTCTCGCTGGTGACACACAGTCTATCTATGTGCTCGGCCAACAAAGCGAGTGCAGAGCCCAGGAATATTGAAAGTGGAAGCACGTGTGAGGGAATGATAGCGTCAGCTGAGTGTGCACTCACACAGGGCGTCTCCACATTTAGATCGCACCGTGGTTCCTGTGTGTGAACGTGTTTGTGTGTAAAGCTGTGTCCTCTGTGGTTGAAGGGTTATTTTGATGCGATGGTCTCCACCTTCAGTTCTTCTTCACGTTCCCACATGTCTTTGCTCCTCGTCTGCCCTCATCTATAGAAAAGCTTGGGATTGAAGCCACACACTCTGTCATTACTTAAATGCATGCAGCTAACTCACCAAGTCAGGTTTCTGTGCCGGTCAACTCGACAAACTTTGTGCCATGTTATATTTGAGGGTGATGACACTTGAGGCAGCCATAACTGAGTTAGCCACGGTTTAACTTGATTACATGCTATCTAAAAATCAGCAGTTTGGATTTGCTTCACCAGTGGTTTTTAAAATTCATAATGTGGAAAGGAAATCAAGTTTTCCTCTATTTGTACTTGATGTTTTTGAGAATGCTCCTATCCTGACGTTTCTGTCACTCGTCCCACGACTCTGATCCAAACTGTCTTTTTCTTTACTCTAGTGTATTCTTTCTTCAGTCTTCAGACTCCGTCAACTTCAAACTCACACTCTGTGTTTCTGTCATCTCAGGAGCACATGCCTACGTTCCTGTTCAACGGCTACGAGGACCTCGACACGTTCAAGCTGCTTGAGGAGGAGGACCTGGACGAGCTGAACATTAAAGATCCTCAACACAGAGCCGTACTGCTCACTGCTGTGGAGCTGCTGCAAGAGTATGACAGTAAGTACACTGAACACACAGGTATTGTGGATGCATTTGTGGAACACCTCAAACCCCCCCTGGCTTTTTAAAAATGTAAGTATGGTGTGTATTTTGATATTTTAAATTCGGTTATTCAAAGTATTTATTGAGAATTCTCACTAAAGCTGAGAAAAACAAATTTGTAGAATGAGCGTTTCATACAGAAACAAAGACGTCACCTTGAAACCTCAATAGTTTGCGGTAATATAACTGAATCAATTGTTCCAGTTCCTTTTTATGCTAAAAAGAAGCCAAAAGTGTGAAAGCAAATAGAAGCCAAACTTCAAAATCTAATCAAAAACCAAAGGGATTTAGTTTCTGCATGGAAATCATAACCATTCAATCTCAGTACAGTTTGAACATGACGCCATTCTCTGTGCTTCTCTGTGATTTCAGGCAGCAGTGATCCGGAGCGCAGCGGCCTGTCGGGCTCCCAGGAGAAGCTGCTCTCTGAGGGACGGGGCCTGGTGGGAGACTCCCCGCGGGACTCCGGCTGCTACGAGAGCAATGAGAACCTGGAGAATGGTAACGATAGCTTTGCTTAGTCTAGACCAGCATTACCTGAGGACCACAGGGAATTAGCTCAGCTGAGGCCTGTGTCTAGCAGTGACTCCTTTTTTAAAAATCTTTTCTGGGCTCCCACCCCCGCTCCATCTCTTGCTAAACTTCTGCATTCTAACAATCTGCCCATCGCACGCCTCTGGACCAGCATCTGCCAATCAAACCGCTCCTCTCTCTGCCACACCCCTCTAGTGGGTGCTGTGGAGGAGGAGACCCTTTGCCATTTCAAACCTTCTTATCTTTTCTATTCTTGCTCTTCCTTCACTCCGCTTTCTTTGCTGCTCTTTCCATCCTGTAGGCATTCTGTATCATCAGCGCCACAGTCTGCTTGTAACTGAAAGGGAGCCAGGCCCCAGACCACTAAGCCTAGTCCACCCCACATTGCTGGGGGAACAGAGGGAGAGACCCTCCCCAATGTACAGAACTGTTCTGCTGAGAACAAACTCACTGCCCAGTCACGGACTCAGATTCTCAGCTCCCCCGCCTGTGGGCTGGAGGCCGACAGATGGATACCAGGAGGACAATAATGGGCTCAGAGAGTATTTTTGTTAAATGTTTTTAATTTAGAAAAAGAGCTTGAGAAGCAGCATGTCAACAAGAAATGTTTGTTTGCAGTGGTGATTCTTTAGGTTTTAAAAGAAATGTCTGTAAGTCAGGTAAATGATTCACTTCACCCTTTGAATCTCTAAAGACGTCACTCTCCTTGTGTTTATAGTGACCATATTGCACAAACAATCAAACAGTATGTGCCTAAAAAAGATGTGGATGAAAATATTTTTAAAACTGTAGTGCATAGATTGTAAGAGAGTTCTGATCATAGATCGAGGTGATTATCTGTGAGATTTGTTTTGTTTTTAGAGTCTCTTCATACGACTGTGAGCTTTCTCCTCCGCTACAGAACATTCTTTTTATTTTAGCAGCTCCATAACTCATAAATCACTGCTTTGTCAAATCTTGTCTTTCTTTCTATATTTGTCGGGCTCCAGCGTAACAGCTGGATTTCCACCGTTGTGTGTGTGTGTGTGTCATTCAGGTTCAACATTAAAGTGTGCAATCTGCCACAGTAGAGATTTCAGTTGTGGAATAAAAACCACAAAAGAGAAAAAAAGACTCTGGTGCTGCTTGCTTGTTTTTATCTTTCTTTCTTCTTTTCCTTCCATGCCACTAAACACTTTTCACAATATATGTAGTAAACATTCTGCATTTCTTCCTGCTCTTTCAGGGTTCCACGGTGCTGCTGCCAGAACAAATTCAGGGTTTATTAGTGGAAAAAAATAAAGACAAGTTAAAAATGATCAATTTGAATTCCAATCATAAAGGTAATTAAGATTAATAGTGACAGTTTTCTTTGGGAGAACGTTTGCACCGCAGAGCCCTGAACGTCTCGCTCTTTTAATCAAAATACTTTCGACATATTTTTTCTGTGACTATGTCGTAATTCTTCCTCATATCATTACATGACCTCTGTAATCTTTCTGCTGTCAAGTGTCATTTTCATATGCAAACATAACGTGGTGATGTGTTGGTCAATGAAATGAAAAATCCTTGGTACACAGGCTTTAATCTCATATCAGTGCACTTTTAAACATCCACACATCTTGAAGGATGTTTGGATCAGACAGGCTGCAGAAATCATTCTCTCATTTTAAAGTCTATAAAACTGACACATAATTCATTATAATCTCCTCAATATGATATAACTTTATTTTGGCGTTTCTGGGAGCAGTCGAAATACCTCATGATGTTCGTCTTGAATTCTTTTTCTATCATCCACCCACTTCACCGTCTCTGGTAAACCACACTATGTGGCAGACACCCATCTCTTCCATCCATTTCACTCTGTAAGCCAAAGGAGAGATGGTAAGTTGCTTCAGCCTTTTTGTTTCAATGTTTCAGAAATATTCCCATTCACCTCATTTTTATTTGGAATCGCTGCTATGACCAATTTCTGCCTTTCATTACATCCGATTTCTATATTAGTAAATTCACCACTGTAGCAAACTGAAGACTGAGGCATCTATTTTTCCTTTTAGTATTTCTGGTGGAAACACTTTGAGCTTGTTTACAGTAGGTTGAGGATGAATATTTTTATTTTGCAGGTAAGAGCAGGAAAACATCCCGTTCCAGTCGTTCCTCAGCGGGCCTCCAGTCTCCAGACTACCCCACCCTGCCCATGACCCTTTCAACAGAGGCTCTGCAGCAGAACGGCAAGAACCAGCGCACCAAGTTCCCGAAAAGCTTCTTCATCAAACCCTCCCTCAAGGGCTTCAACCTGCTGGGGTTGCGCAAAGCCTCAAGACGGTCCCCGATCCCAGCAAGTCGCAGCTGCGAGGACCTGGATGGACCCCCGCAGCCCACCGGATCCTGGAAACGCTCCCACTCTCTGGGAGACCTGGACTGGGAGCAGACTTATGAGCAGAAGAAGGATGTGGGTGTGGAGGTTAAACCCGCTAAGGAAGGGCCCAAATCAGACAGCAGTAACTCAACCAAGGTCTGCAGGGACGAGGGGGCCCCAGCTCAGAATGGGACTCCACCAGTGAGCCCTAAAGGAAGGGCTGAAAGACCACCCATACCTTCCCAGCTGCCTCTCCGGCCCCCTTGTCCCACACCTCAGTCCCCTATTCACCCAGAGCCCCTCTCCAGTCCAACCCCAAGTCCTTCTTACTCCAGTGGGGAGCGGGTGATCCGGACTCACCCCAAAAAGCCCCCTGTCCCACCTCCCGTTCCTGCCAAAAAGTCTAGGGAAAGACTTGCCAATGGCCTCCGTCACGCCCCTCTCTCCCTGCCCTCCTCGCCATCTCCCACTCCCTCCCCTACCCACTCCCTCACCCGCTCTCACCCCAGCAGCCCCGTAATCCGAAGTAGCAGCAGCAGCCCCTGCCCCCCTGCTCTGCCCGCCAAGTCCCCGAGCACCCCAGCCAGCCCCTGCGCCACCTCATCGGCCTCGTCGTTCGGCGAGGAGCCGGGCACCCCGCCGGCGGTCCAACCTCCGTGGCTCTCGGACCTTGGGGGCAAAGTGGCTGTTTCCAGAAAACTCTCCCATAATAAAATGAGCTGTGACCTGTTCACCCTGCTGGAGCAACGGCTGGAGGCTGAGGGAATCGATCTAACGGAGGAACCCTACTCTGACAAGGTCGGTATCATTCATCTCAACATGAAAAACAATAATGTCCATATTGTTGCAGTTTGATAACCACACAATGTATTCAGTTCATACATCCTCATACAATTTAAGCAGATCCTGGAAATCTACTGAAAACTTTTGCAGTAGGTACTAAGGTGTATAGACGCTTTTAGAAATTCTATTCATCTTTAGAAAAAAACTATGAAGTCACATTTCCATAGTTAATTTAAAAATGTGGATCAAAGACACCTCCTCACATCGTAACATGTCGAACTTAACTTTGTGATAATTTGACGACAGTTTACGTCCAAATTACTCCACGTTTAGATTAACATCAGTGGCTTGCTTTGGAACTCATTTAATTTAAAAGTAGACCCTAATAGAGTCTGTTTCTGTTCCTTTGTAAATATAATGGCAGTTATACGTGAGTGAGGCTGTGTGGTTGTGTGTGTGGGAGTGTGTGTGTGTGTGTGTGCACAATAATAAATACACTGCCTGGAGCTGAGGGGGGAGAGACTGTGGGTTGAGTCTTACTATGATGCGGTCGAGACTGTTAAGTTTATGGGCTGGATCTCACTGAAGGCAGACGGGGGTTATAAAATCCTCTGCCACTCGCCAAACCCCAGACGGGGCCCCTTTAACACGGCAGAGCCCCCGACACAAAAAACACACAAGCACACACTGACAACCACAGATGAGGTGAGAGGTATCGTCTCACAACAAAGTCAGGCAGACGTGAATCCACAGAGACGCTGTTTATGAGCAGAAATGTAATTGTGGAGGTCAAAGGTCATAAAGGTAAAACAAATTATCAAACCCTGTAGTTATCAACTAGACATGTTTCAAGTTCAAACCTCTGCCAAGGGCTGATTGTACACTTCAGCACCAGATTACATGTATTTAGAAAGAGAGAAAAAAAAATGCTGCATACGCCTGATTATTCCGATTCGCTCCAAAATTAAATGAGTTCGTCCCTGGGTCATGCTCCACCCCTCTACACCATTTCATGGAAATCAGTTTTTTTGCACAATCCTGCAAACAGACACACAAACAAACAGGAAAGAAAAAATAGACGGAGGTAAAGTTTGTCTATAACAGTGTGAGTGATTTAAATGCATTAGAATGTCTTCTATAGAACATAGATACAGTATATGTGGTTTAGATTTATTCATATTCCCACCTTTTAATGCTTCTATTTTCATTTTCCTCCCTCAGCATGGCCGCTGTGGGATCCCCCAGCCGCTGGTGCAGCGTTACTCTGAAGACCTGGAGCAGCCCGTCAAGGACGTGGCCTCCACCATGGACCAGCTCCGAGTCAAAGAGCTGCGTAAACAACACCGCATGGCTGTAAGGCAAAAACAATGAATTTTAGAGTTTGAAATTAAGATGAGGAAATCTAACAATGCAAGCATGACTTTTTGTCTTAATACAATTTGGCATAAAAAAAAGTTAAGGAACACAGCTTGCTCTACTAAAGTTACCTGAAAAATCAAAACTACAAATCTCTATATATTCAGTATATATATATATAATCAGTAACTGATGTCGTATTGTCCAACTGTGTCCATCAGATCCCATCTGGAGGTCTGACCGAGATGTGCCGAAAGCCCCTGCCCTCGGGTAACATCAGCACAGTCCCTGATTGGCTCGTCTCCATCGGCCTGCCCATGTACGCCACCTCCCTGGCGGCAGCGGGAATCGACACCCTGAGTCGCGTTGCCTTGTTAACGGAGAGCGGCGTGTGGGAGGCTGGGGTCCGGGATCAGAGACACGCCCGCCGGCTGGTCAGCGAGGCGAGATTGGTCAGCGCGCCCAGAGAGGTGCAGTCCTAACCATGATGGCGGAGTCCTGGTTGGATAACAGGTGTCGACTCACTGGTCAGTACCGTCTCATTTAAATGTGACGGCTGAAGGCAAATTGGCCACGGGACTGAACTAAAACCCAGGCGACCACCGTACTTCTGTCTCGTGTCTGAAGACTGAAAGTGGGCTGCCACGCTCTCTGATTTTTGTCCCCATCACTCTAACTTTTGAAATGTTTACGCCACTGAGGAATTTTCCCTCAACAGCCAAGACAAGATATCAGATGCCTTTTTGAAGATAAGACTGGAGACTCACGCTGTGGGATGGCTTCCATTCTGAAGACGCCCTCAAAGTCTTAAAATAAAGACTTGGATCTGCCTTTAAGGAGGATAGCACACTCTTTTGTAGGATGGATGATTTTTCTTTTTTTTTAAATACAGAGAGACGGTTTATTTCCTGCCTATTTCATAAGTGCTTCATTTTCATCTCTTGTGGCAAAGAAGCATTATCTGAGGGTCTCATTCCCACTAACAGTGTCATAAAGACGACGCCAGAATTCCCTCTGGACTTCTAATCCACTGAAGACAAACAAGGAACAACAGGTGGTTTGGAGATGGCCTATTTTGTATTATGTCTCTGTATTATAGCATAATGAATATCTTCATTTTAAAATGATTTATATGTTAAAAGAACATTTGTGTTTGCCTTTTGAATGTTGCAGCCTTGTTTTGAGGCCAGCTCTCTGTCATTTCTAAGCTGAAACAGCAGACATCACATCACACCCTTATAGTTCACACTATATCCTGTTTTCCTGCATATCTCAGATGCACCTCCAGCTCCAGTGTGAATATGAGGCCAAACAGAAAGCTCTGTTTTGCTCCAGGTTTCCCCACAATCAGCGTTCATAGCAACAAACACACCCCCTGCGTATCCAAGGACGTTTTTAAGTTGCCTTAGCAATATGAACGAATGGCTGGAAGAAATAGAACATACAGTAGAATTGACGTTACTGTGACTCAGCCTGAACTTTGCTGAATGTGTCGGAGAAGTAATCGAGGAGCGGATTTTGTCAACACACACTAGATAGATGGCGATCGTGTTTCTTATTTCTCGCGAAGCTCAGACGATAAATCACAAAACTACGGGGACGACACGACAAAAGTACGTCCTCCCTGCTCGAGCGCATGTTCAGAGCTCTGTTCACCGGGAGAGAGGAGAGAGTGAAAATGTTCCAAAGACACAGCTGATAACTGGATTTTTGGGGATTTTTCAGACTCTCTACAAGTGAGAAATTTTCTTCACAGCTGGATAATAAGCTGTTTTTTTTTTAACACATTATACTGTAGCTATAATTATTGCCAGTCGGAAACTCTTCATTGGGCGCTGCGGGTGGAAGGTGAGAGCAGTCGTATCAGGTGACCTCCGAGGTCTGCACACAGTCTCACTACATGGTCTTGAAAAATCAGGGAAACACAGACTGTACAGGGAAACTCTGAGTCAGGTCGGTCTGTTACAAAAAAAAAAAATCTTTGGGCCAAAAAACTGAAAACAACCAGAAACTCTTTCATTTGCACACAATTGATCTAACAAATAATCTTATTTGTGTCGTTTTTTTCCCCAGTAAAGTTCTATCTTTCACAAACAGAACAGAACTGAAGACTCATTCCACGGATTTCATATTTTAAAAAAATTGACCAAGTGTTATTGTTCATGTTTTTTTTTGCAGTGGGCACTTGATAGATAGATGTTTGATGCCTTTTTTTCTTCTTCAATCAAAGTGGTGCTCTGGGAAAGTGAGGACAGAGGGGGTCACTATTAAAAAAAAAAGTGTTTTGTAATGAATGAAAATACTGACACTGTAAATGCACTTTAGAGGGTAAATCTAGCTGTTTTTATAGGTGAAATTGGCTTCATTTAATGGACATTTGTTGTCAGGTATTATAAAAGGGTTTCAGTGGGTAACGCTGGTATTTTGATTTAGTGTTGAGTTCCCAATGCCAAGTTTTAATAACGATTCACGAGTTAACCCATTCCAGTGGCTTATTCTAGTTTGTTTTTGCAGTCTTACAAAAATACAATTCTTGATTACATATATGAAATGCTAAGTAGAAGTTGCACATTCTGTATATGTAATTGATATTTAATTAATAACTTATTTTTTGCTTTTATTTTCCACATCAACTGTAATTAGCTGTACTATATGAATAGCAATACCTTCCTGCATAATGCATATTGCTTTAGCCAGTGAGGAGCTGCAGTATGTAATGTAAGATATGTGTACAAATTATTTTATTTGGTTTTCATCTGCCTAATGATTGTCCATACAGATTTGCTTGTGTATTGAAACAACAAAAGTAATGTCCATAACTATTTGTCATTCTTAAATATAATAAAAACTGTTTCTTGCCACTGTTTTCCTCCAATTTGTCGTTAGTTTGGTTGGTCGCTTTGCACACACACACACGCACACACACACATGCACACACAGGTTTGTGCAGCTATCCTCTTAAAGAAGTAACAAAAACATGTACCCACACATGCATGGATACAGAAATGGAGAGATGTGGGCCTGACCTCCTGCCTCTTATGGTCACTGTGGTAAACTAACACTGGCCTGTTAATAAAATCTTAATTATATAGTTTAGAATTAAAAATTAAAAAGGATCTATTCACAACAAAAACACTAATAACACAAGACTTGATTTGATTCAAACTCGTCTGTCAAACATGTTATTATTTCATTCTTAGCTCCTATGAATTGCAATAATATGACATTTTCTTGGGTGTGGTCAAAAGGGGAAAAACACCAATATGCTTCTCTTACAGTGCTGGACAGTGTAAAGTTCAGTATCTCTGAATAAAAACTGCCGCGCTTATTGTCTATGGTTGAGTTGGCATAAAACTCTGAAATCACAGAGCTTAAAAACATTTCCTTGTTGTGTCTAGCTTGTAAATCCAATTGCTCTGGAGCAACACAGAGCGTTGCTCTGTGGCTCTGGTCCTCAGGTCGACTGGCTGGCTCTTGTTGCAGTGCAGCTGTTGTCAATGAAAACATGTTAAAGGGTTTTTTTTATTTGTTCCAAACACGTACTCACCAGACCAAAGACTCCGAAGTGATGAAATACACAATCTGAGAAGACTTTACTTGGATAGCTTCAGCCTCAGCCTTTGTTGTGCGGTGGCTGGCTGCAGTAAAGGTCATAAATCCTGCCTTGTCCATGTTAGTGGATGGGACATGGACCAAACTAAAAAGTCCCATAAAAGTTTCCCAAAGATGGTGTCTGCCATTTTGGATCGGTTTTATCACACTTATGTTTGCGAAATGTTCCTTATCCAGTAAGTTCAGTTCTTATTAGTTATTCTGGCTCCAAATAGGGAAGCTGGAGTTCTTATCCCCAATAATATAACTTCATTTGTGGATAGTGGGAGGAAGTGAAAATGTGTCGTTCATCTTTATTTACAGTCTTTGCTTTGTCCTAATTTAGTATTGGCTGGTAGTTGCCTTCCAAGTGTTGGAAATCAAATCCAACCATCTGAATGATTAGCACCACTGCACTTCCTAATGATTCCTCTCATGGTGGGGTAAACCCAGTGAAGGGGGTTTCATCTAAAGATGTAAAACAGACACAGTGTGGTTTGTCAGAATGAGGTTTGTTGCTCGATGTTTCCAATAATATTCATTTCAGTTTTATGACTTTACCTGTCAACACAAAGCCTCCCCCATGTGGACAGACACTGTTTACTGAACCTGTGCGGATTTTACAAACAGCAAATTCAGAGGAACTTCAGTCCAACTCCAACTCCAGGACGTTACCGTCCACAGACCTGACACATCCTGAGGCTCAGACTTACTGATTTAACAGCTAAAACATGCATTACACATCTGTACTTATTACATTTTAAACATCTGTCTATGGTTGCTCGGTCTGTGAGAAGTTTGAGTGAGTTTCTTCCAGGCACTTCACTTTTCCTCTGAAGTCCAAAGTTGGTGAAACTGTTTTAATTGTTATCCCTCCAGGCTGGACTGATGGATGATGTGCAATAAAAAGGATATGAGCAGATATGATTGGGTTTAAATCCCATGGCCACGTGTTAGGATTAGATGAAACCTGATAGACTGCAGTGACCTCACTGACATCTTTAGGACTCCTGTGCGCCATGGCACACTGGGCTGGCCGGGCTATAAACCTATAATGACTTCAGCCTTATTGTGCCTACTTTGCATTATGCAGCATTCTGTACTGTTCTATTTACAATCCATTTACCCGTGGAAAAGCCGAAGCAATGGCCCTCGACTGAATGATTCTCTTCTTCTTCATTACTTTTGGTCTTTGAAGCTAAATAGTTTTTCACAGCCGCAGTCGCTCCCCTGACTATTGTAGCTGTCACCAGTGAAAGTGAGCCCACTGAGCTGAACGGCTCTTTTTCACCTCTTAAGTGCAGGTGAAGTCTAATGGTGGGTTGCGGCCGTGCTGTGGAAAGATATATGACTCAGTGTCCAAACAGCCGGCCCCAAGGAGAAAGAGAAAGTTAAAGACACACGTGGCAACTCACTGACAGACCCTTACCCTAAACCTAAAGTACCACAGCTTAGAACCCAACCCAAATACTTATTCTTATTCTAGCTCTGACACTAATAAAACCCTCACAAAGGGATCTCGACCTGTTTCGGCCTTTAAATCACAGGACTGCTCTTGTGAGGCAGGCCCACCACACAAATGTGAGGAAGATGCAGGATGAAGGCAAATTCAAAGTTATTTCTTTTAAAACTGTGACTCTCTCTGAGGTTTTACATTGTGTTTGCCCTCTAAAATGGTTTTTAGGGTAATTTGTCCTCACTGTTTTTGAGGATTAAGGGAAAAGGATGTCACACCTAGGTATTAGTGATTTGTGAATATGAGCTATACAAATACAATTTGACTGATTGAAAATATGCAAGGGTGCTGGGGATCCATGAGAGAGAGTCGTGGCCATGAAAATACCATTTCTTATGGGATGGGACCACCGGGCCCAGGGGCTTCTAACTGGGGTCATCAACAAGACTCCGCCCTCTGAAAACCTGGTGCATGATGGGACAAAACATGAGAATAAGCTTTCAAACATGTAATCAGAGCACATGGCACTGGCTTGTTTTCAGCATACAGCAGATCTACACCCTTGGTGATGATACAACTTGTTCCACTTTGTGTCTGTTGGCTTTTTAGGCTCCTTTTTTTTGGAAGATTATAAATAAACTATATTAGACCCACATTGTCATCAAGCTGTCAGAGTTTAGGTAAATGAGAAGGCTTCTATCTTTTTAAAATTGAAAGTGCAAATGCCACAGACCTCCAGCCTGACTGCGTGTGGAGGCTTTTACGAATCCAACTCGTTCCAATGGATGACAACGGGCTGCATGCGCCCTTTCTTCCTGGACACCGGGCGGCGCTGTTTTACGCTCTGCCACCCGACGCAAATCCTCCTTTGCATGAGGTGGAAGTTTTTCCTCTTTCCACGTTCAGTAATCTGACACTTCTCACCCCCCCAAAAAAAAGACGGAGCAGAAGGATGGACCCTTAACTCTGCCCGGAGGACGGAAGGAAGGAGCAGTCATCCAACGAGCGCAGGACGAGAGGCACCGAGCAGGAGGCCAAACGCTTGTGCGCAACAAAACAAGCTCCGTGGCTGTGCGGAGGAGGAGGAGGAGGAGGACGAGAGCCATAGAGAGCTGAGTTCCCCCCGCGCGTCTTCCAGAACAACTCACCGTCCAACCTCCGATGAGCTCAAGGCGACAAGTTTCGCTTCCCACGGGCGGATGGGAGACTTTCCACGGCGCTTTGTGAGGAGGAGATGATGAAGAATTTCAGCGGCAGTCCCCTTCACAGCAACAGCCCGACTCCCAACCACGTCCGAGAGCGAAACAACCGAAAGTACAGCGCACTCTCCGCTTTACTACCGCTGCGATTCTCCCTGCGAGGTTATGGTTTCTGCATGGCTACGCTCTTCCTCTTCTGTTTCGGTTCCCTCTTTTACCAGCTGAACGGAGGACCCCCGAAAATCCTGCTGGACATCCGACAGTATCTCGGTAAGAACTTTTTTTTTCTCCTTCTTCCCCTGCCCCGAGGTGCGTCACCGGGCAGATTCTTCTCGCCCCTCTTTGCTGGGAGGTGCACAGGGAAGTTTATTCAAAATGAAACAGAGATTGAATAAGTCTTGCACCTCTTGTGCACCATGGTTTCTTTTATGAGAGCCACACAGCGACCTCACTCACCTCACATGAGTTATCTTCTCTCCACATCACTCATAACCTTAAACCTGGACATGTGGTGTCACTCTACACTGACACACATCCTGAAAAGAGCGTGCGCAATCTCATCTGCACATGCACACCTATTATTTAAACTTTATAGATATCCAAGTTGTCTAAAATGCATTTCTGACCAGAACCTGAGGAATGCCCGCTCCTCTGCGCCCTTTGAATCTCGGCTCTGACTTGTCGGAGCATGATTGAGAGATTACTATTATGGTAACTATTATGGTAACAGCCAGACCGTAGCAACTGTGAAGACTTGATACTGTATGTGGATGGTGACTGACACCTCCGCTCGTGCAGCCAGCTGCTGCGCTCCAGTCACACACATGCGCTCATTACGCACGGCTGGCACCGGCGGAACAGGGCGCAAATGTGTCCTAAAGGCTGGCTTCAGAGACAGCCACGCGTGTTTCTGTAAATGATACAGTGGGAAGGTTTCCAATTTAAAATATGAGGTCCCGAGGCGAAGACTTGAAAGTGTTTTACTTCAGATAGCATTGCTGGATGACTGTCATCAACGTACTGTGTGATTATAAGGAGAAAGTGCAGTGGCTCTGCCTGGGCGTCTGTGTTGACTTGCAAGGATGAGATGTATCAAGGGTCAAAAAAGAAAGTGTGTGTTCATGCATGTGTCTTAAAAATCAGTTACTGATGGGGGGGTGCAGCAGCAAAACGTGTGCGTTGAAAAGAGGTTCCTGTTCCTACCTAATTCTACAGAGGGCTCTGAGGCCTTTATGACGTGATAAACATCTGGAACAGCACGAGAGTCACTCACCAAGTTCGCCACTAATCCCCTGGGTCAGATTGGTTTCCTGTAGACACACACACCCACAGACACGCTCTTACACTTGTTCAAATACCTGCACACCAACGCCACACAATATTGTCAAGAAAAAAATCATTATAATTTGGTCCAGTGTTGCAAAACATCAACACAAAAAGTTTTCCTTTAACGTCTTAACTTTTTACAGGATGTGGAATTCATTATTTTATCATTCTATTTGGGTATCATGGAGAGTATTAATATTTCCTCTGAAACACAATTAGATTTTTTGAGCAGACTCTATATCCACTGCACACATTCGCTCTGATGGAACTTTGCAGCCTAATGTGATTTAGAAA